GAATTGATTACAGAATATTGGTTATTATTAGCAGAATAATGACATGATAATTTCCTCATTATTAGCAAAATATTAGTTATTATTAGCTATAATTATGTAATTAATATTAGCATTTCCTTAATTATGGAAATAGATTGTATACACTATATATATAGAGAGAGAAATAATACAGTATGAAGACACACGGTTTACGATACATTTTATGTTTGACATGGGAAGTGATACAAGAGAGGTTTTTGAAAGCCGATGACAACATGAAACTCCACATCATATAACAATTAAGGAAGATTTCTTATCCGGAAACCACCGACTTGAAACCACCCTCTCAACCGGTGAAAATAAAAGGTGCTCAGAAGAAACTCAAGCCTCCACCGAATGACAATTCGACGACACAGTCTCCTTCATATTTTGAACATGTTGACAAAGTTTTTCCTGGCAGACCAACTCCAAAATCTCAAAAAAAGTGTTGTCAAAGAAGCCCGCATTAGCAAATCACCTCATTCGCCGCCTCCATAAAATATTCCATTCATTGATGAAATGCTAGTTTTTATGCAAAAATACATCGAGTGGATCATCAATTTTGAGGGGGCGGTAATTGCGGTTATCGAGCTATTTTGACTTTACTTGGTAAAGCAGAAGATAATCATACACTTGTTGGCCATCAACTTATCCAATAATTGAGGAATCATAAAGACTCATACACACAGTTGTACAGAAAGAAAGAACCTTTCGATGAAATTTATGAGTCTCGTGTTCCTTGTCTTAGTGGACCGACACCAGAGGCTAAATGGATGTGCTTGCATGATATGGGTCACCTCATAACATGTGTGCATGATAGAGTGTGTGTTGATCTTACACGATACAGTTTTTCGGAAACTTTTTTCCCACTGCGTATGTCCCACCTCAAAATCCAATTGATCGTATTATGTGTATTGGGTGGCTTTCAAAATCACATTATTTTATTCAAGTTTACTTGGAACCGGGATGCCCTATACCACTTACATCACCAGAGTGGACGACTCGTTCAACAACAAAAGTCGAGAAATTATGGAAAAGATGCAAGAGTTCGAGAATTTAGCAACATTGAAAGAGAATCAAATGTTCAAAAGTCAAAGGGGGTGCACCCATAGATTTATCTGTCGACAAATGTTTTGATTCATTGTAATTTTTTATTTAGTCGGAAAAATAAGTATATGTAATTGTGTCTCAGTATTAATGAAGTGTAATATATTCAATTTTTCATATTGTGTCTTAATATTTTAATACATTTTTTATCTTTCCCGTAACATTTGTTCATTTGTCTAAAAAAGTCTTCAATTAAATTATGTTTTCACAAGTTCTATTTTCTACCTATTCAGGAGAGATATCAGAGATGTATATCTGGAACATGATGATAGGGTGCAAAACCGGAGATATATTTCTGGAATCGGCATGCCAGATTTTGAATGGTTCACATTTGTCTATAGCGTCTATAAATTAAGGTGCTCTTGTTTTTTATTTCACACAAAATAAAAATGTCTCAATGTCACAAATAAACATCATATGATATGTCGCAAATGTCTCTAGCATAGAGATATGTTGATGCAATCTGATACTTGGAAGGAATTCCAAGAAACTAGCCGGTACAACACAAGGAAAATATACCATATGATCAGAGGCAGCAAGCCTAAAGTTAAATGGAGAAAGTTGATCAGTGGGAGCTTGGAAAGACCTTGAGCCACTTTTACCTTATGGATGACTTGCCAAAAGCGTCTGCTAACTAAAAATCATATGCATAAGTTCGGCATGATGTCTGATGGGGTGTGTGTGTATTGTGGAATGCAGGAAAGTTGTCAACGCCTCTTCTTTGAATGTGAGGTTATCAAGCATATTTGGACGAATATGTTGAATTAGTTGGGTTGTAGCCAAAGCCTGGGGTCTTGGGACATAGAATTAGGATGAATCAATCAGAACACAAGAGGAAAATATTGTAAGAAAAAGCTCATGAGAATAGTAGCTGCTGAAACTGTTTACAAGATTTGGAATTTGAGAAACAAAATCATTTTTCAAGGAGGAAAAAATGAAGACCTTCATAGTGAAGAGATAATTGAAGTGGTCCTTAGAAGAGTTGAGTTTGATAGGAAACTCTCAATGTATTGTAATAGAAACTGCTTTTTAGTGCATGTTAGCTTGTATTCTTGTCAGTTGGGAGCCTGGATCATTTGATCGACATGTTTGTATCATGTTTTTGGCAATAAAATATATCCTTATTAAAATGAAAACGTCTCCTTCTCCAACTCGACACGCGGGCGAATGTTTAAGCTCACCGAGTACACCTCTCTTGTAGATCTGAAATACGAAGTCCATAATATCCTACCTTACAGAGATAATTGAAAATTTGTCAAGCTCGAGTATTGTTCGTCGTCGATCGACAACGAATGGAAGATTGAGTCTAACAACTTTGAGCTCAAGACGGTTGCAGGTGTAAGGGCTATATGGAATACATATTTTTATTTTGAAACAAAAGTTTCACTCGAGTTGGAAGCGACAATTTCAAGATCAGTTGAAGATATTGTGACGATGTTGAAGCGTCCACCTGAATATTGAAGTGTAATGCTGCATTTTATATTGAAATCACCTATGTATTTTATGTTATGAATGTTAATTTTATTTTGTGAAATCATCTCCGGTATTAAAAAAACCAAATAATATGGCATCCCTCAGAATATCCTATATTGTGTGTGTATTGGGTGCGTCCAACATGAAAGAAATTTTAGTATTTTTGCATGGTGCGTAAGTAAGATATAAGGTGTATTAAGAAATTATCTTTAATAACATTTAAGCTTTAACTTTTGTTGATGTTGTCTCTGGTATTAAAAAAACCAAATAATATAGGATCTCTCAGAATAACCTACATTGTGTGTGTATTATGTGCATTCAGAAACGTATCTCTAAAAGACATTTTAGTATTTTCACGTATTGCGTAAATCACATATAACATGCATTAAGAAATCATCTTTTAATAAAAACATTTAAACCTTAACTTTTGTTGATGTTACTATTAACTTTTGTTGATGTTACTATATTGCCCTCCTCTAATTTTCACAACATTTAAGCCCTAACTTTTGTTGATGTTATTATATTACCCTCCTCTAATTTTCACAACATTTAAGCCCTAACTTTTGTTGATGTTATTATATTACCCTCCTCTAATTTTCACAACATTTAAGCCCTAATTTTGTTGATGTTATTATATTACCCTCCTCTCTTATAGTATGATATTGGTATATCAAGTGTATGAATGAGTTTCGCATTAAATGAAAAAGAAACTGTTAAATACTTTATTAATAAGATGATTCAAAGATCTAATGCTTTAAAATTTGAATTTTTTAATAAATCAGGATGAATATCCAGCTCATTTGATGTGATTTCTGATCCCCCTTATTTTTCAATACATGCATTACTTTTAATATATATCTTCCAATTAAATCGTTTTTAAATTAGACTTTAAATATTTCTTAAAAGTTGTGTAATTTTTAAGTAGTAATATTTTCAGACAAAGTTAAATTTCAGTCTTATAATTTTTATTTTATTTCAAATTTTTTTAAAATATTAATTTAAAATGTCAAATATAAAAGAAAAATAAACATTAAAAATTGACTTTTAAATTTATTAAAAGAACGAACTTAATCTAACAAGTTAAACCGAATTGTTCGTAAACTTATAATGAATTGAGTTTGAACTTAAAAAAAGTTCATGATGAATTCAAGTTGAGATTTGAGCAGAACCAATTCTTATCAATTCGAACTAAAGCGAGTTCGACTTGACTCGACTCATTTTCAACTCTATGTATGACTCGAATCTCAAATTACACCTTAATCAAATTAGATAGATTTGAGTCACCTCTGTTTCATTTGATTCAAATCAGACTCTACATTTAACTCAAATCAAACAATTTTTCATATTTCTCTGTTTGACTCTGTCCAAATTGACTAGAATCATACTTTGTACTTGATTTGAACCATGAGCCTTCATGACTCAAATCACACAAGAAATGGATCAAATTCTTATGTTTTCTTATTCCACTGATGCACATGTTAAATTGGAAGAAAATAATCTAGCTTCAGTCTTATAGAGGTTGAGAACCAGATCCATGTATTTACAAAATATTGTCTTATTGGATAAATTTGTTTGGAGTATACTGTATACCTCAATATAAGAATAATTTATGGATTTATATCCTCTCAGACAAATACCTTCATGATGGAGAATAATTTTGTGCAAGCTCGTCTGAGTTCATCTATCTGGAGAGATATTCTTAAAGCTTGAGTTTCTGGCACAAAGGCTTCGAATGTAAAAGAGGAGAATAACCCTTCTGTAATATGGTTCATGATTTTACACAAGCTGATTTAAATTTAAAGATCAAAGATCTATGGATAAATGATCCTTGTGTCATCTCTAAAACTTACAGTTTGACTATGGCAAATATCTAATACAGTTTTACTAAATTATTAGTTAGAGAGGATAGTCTAGGAGTATCAACTTATTTGAATTTTGAAAGTACTTCTGTAATCATGGAGGTTGATATGCACTGAACCAACAATTATACTTGGAGGGCCATAACCAAATTCATCAAGAGGTTGATGACTGCATTTAGCTATAACCAAATTCATCATGCCGCTGATGACTGCAATTAGCAATTTATATAGAACTGTGGCAATAAAAGATGAGAAGAGTTCATTTACAATAACATGATTCCAGAAACTCGACGGCTAGATAGCATGAAAAATACAAGTGCAAAGTCAGGATGAAATTGAACTTTATGATTGATGTGAAATGAATTAAATTAAAAGGTACACAGAAAAAACACAGAACTGAGAACTGCAAGAGTTTAGAAGACTAGCCCTTATACAATTATATGCAGCAAATACAAAGCAGAGCTTACAAGTCATGTTGCATTTCAAAATAACGTACATAGAATATTTGATACTCTGTTGTTTGGCATACCTGCGCATAGGAGTTCAAAGGTGCAGCACTGCCACGGATTTGGTCACGCACGATGAACCATCGAGCTCATGAGTGACATGATTCCTTGAAATATGGTTCCAGTTTGTCATATCTGACACATCACATACAGTGAAAAAATCCAACACTTGGCCAAATATTTTGAACATCTCTACTCCAAAAATCAAGTTTTTGTCTGCCACAAATACGGCATTCCAGTCCATTGGGGCATCAGGATGCACTGAGACTTCAGTCCAGGTAAGATACATGAGATCTAACTCCCATAGTTTTCTGACAGCCTTGTTTCGCCGCCCAATTTGACCATCACCTTCACACCAAGACACGGAGAGCATGAATAGACGGCCATTTGAAGATACAAGTTTGGGGTAGTACTCATGGACACGAGGTGGGAACGGAGTAGCTTGAATTGCAATCCAGAACCCTCGTTCTATGTCATATGCGGCAAGCTTGTCCGTTTCAGAATAAACATAAAACATCTTGCCACATACAACTCCGGAACAAGCGACCCCAAAATCAAAAGGCAATCTTGGGATTTCTGTCCATTTATTGGATGCAGAATCATATATTTCTCCAGAGTCCAGGGGTTCATCCCAAGATCCCAGACCCCCTACAGCTATCAACAAAAATCTTCTACTACTCTTTGAGCTTGAAAGATCACTTATTTGTCTCAGGAACTTGTGTGCCTTTCTACCATGCAAAGATGAAGCTTCAGTCTCGTTAAAGGTAGATCTGCAATGACGTCTCATTGAAAGCTTATGAGGATCCTCATAGACGTCTGAAACCCCACCAATCCTTGATCTTGGAAAACGTTTGTCTTGCCGACTTTGATGACTTTGACAACTTGAAAAATCCAAACTGACTTCAAAGACTCCAAGTATAGGAATTGATCTAGCATATTTCATAGAGGGCATTTTACGCCAAGATTTCGTCAAGGGGCTGAACGAAAGCACCCCTCTGTGCGTCTTGAATGAACTCCTATCCACTTTCCCAAAGTTAGTTAAGCTAGAACATCCTCCAACAATGAAAATATCATCTTGTACACTAGCAACAGAGAACAAGAACCTTCCTCTGAGAAAACCAGCATCAATCTTATGCCATTGGTTCTGAGACACATCCAACGCGTGTATCTCACCCGAACAAAATCCATCTTTAACAGAACCAAACATAAACAACCATGGATTTTGATACAAACCTTCCCTTCTCATTTGAAGGAATCTCGGTGTAGTAGTCAACGACCTCCATTTTTTGCAAACAAGTCTAGCATTCATCAAACTTCTCAACGGAAGTCTCATCAAACACATTTCAAGAATATCATCCGGAAGAAAAACATGCATTTTATTACTGCTCGTTACCATCTCATCAAATTCAGAATTCTTTCTATGGTGCCTCCTCCAAAACCTATCCCTCACCCCATACGAGAAACAATCCACAACAGCAGTATCTTGGTAAGCACAAACTGGTTTATACCCCTTCCCTTCTTCACTAGAACTAGATCTCCTTCTCGCACTCGAATCCCCTAATTCATCGCTAGTATCAGCACCAACCTTACAACCCCCACCCCGACCATAAAGCGATAAACACTTTAAAGAAACTCCATTAACATCATCATCATCATCATCATCAACTTCCCCTAAACTTCTGTTATGAATATTCTTCTTCCTCAACTTCTGGCTAACACTCCTCACAAGACGCTTTGACACACTCAAACCGTGAAAATCTTCTTGTAAACGAGATTCTTCTACCCCCAATCTTTCAGAAAACATTATTATATATACTCCACTAATTTTTCACAACAAAATATACATGATCCATCTCCATTATTCAACACGGTTTCTACGAATCATGAAGAAAAAAAACACAAAAACAAAATCAGATTTGAGCATTGTGAAATACTAGCAATGAATGAATCCAGATCCTGCATGAAATTGGAAACTTCAAGTGAAATGAAAAAACATGAATAAGTTTGAAGAAGAGCGTGAGTAATTAATAATACCTAGACACATCACAAACGCGATTACGAAGAAAAGCGAAAAAAACAAAAAAAAAGCGATTCTAAAGGAAAAACAGTGGTTGAAGGAATCGAGTGTATAACGGAAAACCTGAGAGTGGAAAAAGGAAAGAAAGAAAAGGAAAAGGAAAAGAAAACTTACAGTGTCTGCAATGCAGGTGAGAGAGAAATGAAATGAATGAGCGAAATCGGTGCTTACTTTACTTTTTCTCTTCTTTCATACAATGGAGAAAATAAAAATAAAAACAAAAAGAAAAAAGCTTTGATAGAATGGAGAAAATAAAAATAAAAAACAAAAAGAAAAAAGAATTGAAGACAATTTTGTGGGTTGGTTTGGTTGGGAATTTTGGAAAGCGACCGCACCAATTATTAAAAAGCGACCCGTCTTCTTTTTATTTATTTATTTTTAAGTATTTTCTTTTCTTCCTCAAATTATTATTTTATTTTATTATGAGTGTGTGCATGTGCGTAACACTAATTCACTACTAGTACTGATTATCTTTTTAATAGTTTTTTAGAAAGTGATGTTTATTACTAATATAGGAGTATGTCATGGAATAATGAATGATATTAAAAAGGGAAAATGTTAATGTAATGAATAATAATGATAAGTGTTAACTCAGAATTGAATACAGCATGTGAGTGATTAATGAAGGCACATTCGAGTTCAAAATTCAACGGTTCTTGTTATTGCTTAATATAAATTGTTTAGTTAACCAGAGTGTGTTAAAAAAAATTATAAGTCCGAGATTTATAGATAAACGCTAGTTTTACAAATTAAAATGGTGCAAAATTGATTTTGTCTAATTATTTTCTTAATTGTTGCGCTAGTTTTTTAACTATTAGAGTTATGTGGTGTTTTGTATCTGGCTTATTTTTTTCATTTATTGATATTTTTTGTTTCTGCTTATCAACATGTGTGCAACTCACTGTAAACATGGTTCCTTGCTTTTTTTAGTTTTTCTTTGGTTGCTTTTAGTTTTTTTATAGTTAATGATGTTCCAAACATGGAGTATGATTAACTTGTCAAACTATCTAGACTGCATACGGTGAAAAAATTTGCTACTCGACAATGTCTTGGTGATCATATTAGAAGTATTGTCATCAGTCAAAGCCTTCAGCACTTGGACTTCTCCATGCTCGATTATCTCTCTGATGAAGTGCAGTCTCACATCGATGTACTTGGTTCGCTCGTGATAGGCTGAATTCTTCGATAGGTGTATTGCACTTTAACTATCACATTTAACAATGATAACTCGACCTTGAAGTTTCAGCTTCTTAGCAAAACCTTCAAGCCAAAATGCTTCTTTCACAACTTCAGTGAGGACAATATATTATGCTTTAGTGGTTGATAAGGCAACAACTTCTGAAGTGTCGCTTTCCAACTGATTATTGTGCCGAACATAGTGAACACATATCCAAAAATAGATTTTCTGGAATCCATACAACCTGCATAATCATAGTCGACAAACCCTTTGATTTCGATTTTGCTATCATCACTGCAGACTCTACCATAAATCAAGACTCATTGATGTACCTAAGAATCCACTTTAATGCTTGACAGTGCGCCTTTCCAAGATTGGCCATATACTTTCTTACAAGGCTCACTTCATATGTTATGTCTGATTGTGTACAGGCCATAGTATACATCAAAGAGCCTATTATACTAGCATATGGGATGCTATTTATGTAGGCTCTTTCGACTTCAGTACTAGGACTTTGAGTCGTACTTAGCTTGTACTGAGAATTTGCCAACAGGCTTTGAATTCAACAAACCAGCCTTTTTGAGAATTTTCTTCAGGTATGTCTCTTGAGATAAGCATAATCTCGACTGCTTTCTATCTCTCTGGATGTCAATCCTAAGAATTCTGGAGGTAACTCCCAAATCCTTTATGTAGAACTCCTTATCGAGTTCAGTATTTACCTTCATAACATCTTCGACACTATTGCTTACTATAAGGATGTCATCAACATAAAGCAATAAAATAACAAGTGGTTTTCTAGGTCAAAATTTGAAGTAAACACAGTGGTCGATCTGGCTCCTAGTGAAATCAATTTGTGTCATGAACTTGTCGAATCTCATATTCCACCGTTGAGGAGATTCTTTCATGCCATTCAAAGACTTATTCAGCTTGCACATATAATATCCCTTTCCCTTTTCTACATACCCTTCAGGTTGCCTCATCAGGATCGTTTCATCTAGATCACCATACAGGAAGAATGTTTTCACATCCATTTGTTCAAGTTCTAGGTCGAACTTCGCCACAATGGCTAATAATATTCTAATGGATCTATGCTTTACAACAGGTGAGAACACATTATTAAAGTCAACTTTTTCTTTCTGAGTGAACCCCCTAGCAACCAACCTTTCCTTAAAGTGCTTCGACATCACTCCTTCGATTCTTTCCTTAACCTTAAAAATCCACTTACAACTGACTAACCTAACTCATGCAGGTTTCTTAATCAGTTCCCAAGTGTTATTATAATGAATAGATTTCATTTTATCATCCATGGCTTTCAACCGTTCAGGCTTGTCTAAACTCCTCATAACTTCCTTATAATCTCTAAGTTCTTCACCAAGGACCTCAATTGTAGAAATTAAGGCATAAGTTATGAGATTTGTATAACCAAGTCTCTGAGATGGCTTAATGATTCTTCTCGACCTGTCTCTTGCTGACAGGTAGTCATTATCAGTCTCCTTGTCTTTCACAACATCTTCTACTTCTTCTTCGACTTCATCTAGGTCATGCAATTCAACATCACTATGCTCCACCTCAACAAGAATCTCTCCTTGTTCCAGCTCTTCTTTAGAAATCTTCGAACTTTGACCAATGTCATCAGTTTTCTTGAAATCCATCTCAGCTTCATTAAAAACTACATCTCGACTTATGATACACCTCTTGTAACCTGACTTTAGGCACCACAACCTATAAGCTTTGACTCCTTCAGGGTATCCAAGGAACATACATTTCAGAGCTTTAGGTTTGACCTTGTCCTGCCTAATGTGAGCATAGGCTAACCAGCCAAATACTCTAAGTCTATTGAGACTAGGTAGATGTCTCGACCATACTTCTTCAGGTGTCTTTATTCCTAAGGAAATTGAGGGACACATATTTATCAGGTAAGTTGCAGTCACAATAGCTTCTGCTCAAGACACCTTCTTCAATCCTGCACTTACCAACATGCACCTCACCCTTTCTAGAATGGTTCGATTAAACCCTTCAGCCAAACCATTTTGTTGGGGAGTCCCTGTAGTAGTTTTGTGCCTTACAATACCATACGCAACACAATATTTGTCGAACGTCTATTGCAAAATTAAAGACCATTATTGGTTATCAACCTCTTGACCTTCCTTCCAGTTTGGTTTTTGACCGGAGTCTTTCAACTTTTGAAATTTTCAAAAGTTTCATCCTTAGTCTTCTGGATGAACACCCAGAACTTTCTAGAGTAATCATCAACTATGGATAGAAAATACTTTGCACCTGAGTCTGAAGGATTCCTTGCAGGTATCAAAATATCAGCATGAATGTAATCAAGAGATCCACATGTTCTTTGTTTACCTTTGTTAAACTTCATTCTACAAGACTTACCAAATACATAAGGTTCACAAAACTCCAATTTTTGACCTTGTCACCACCCAACATATTTTATTTCGACAATTCAATCAGGCCTCTTTCACTAACATGGCCAAGTCTATTGAGCCATAGCTCAGTTTTCGACAAAGGTTTCATGGATGTCACATCTGTTGAACCACTTACAACCTCAGCCTCAAGGGTATACAAGCCTTGTTTCTTCACGCCTCTCAAGACTTTCTTTGACCCCTTCATTACCTTTAGGATGCTTTGTTCTCCTTTAAAAACATATCCTTTCTTTTCAAATTCACCAAGAGAAATAAAATTCCTCTTAAGATCAGGTACATACCTAACATCAGTCAATAGCCTTGTTGACTCATCATGGAGCTTGAATCTCACATATCCAATACCTGCAATTTTGCAAGCTTTGTTGTTTCCCGACAACACTGATCCACCATCTTGATCACATAATTCCTCAAACACGTCTTTGTTTGGATTCATGTGCCAAGTACACCCTGAATCCATAATCCACTCCTTGATAGAGTCGTTGCTTGAAACCATCAGATGATTCATAACCATCCTGCACAATGGCAGTATTACCATTATCCTTTCCACCATGATTGTTCAGTCGATCAGGGCATACAATGATAACACTTAATAGTATGAGCATTACCACCATAAGAACTATGTAAAACTTTACCTTCTTCTTCTCAAACCTACCATCTTTCTTCAAGAATTTCCCCTTAACGGACAAACCTTCACCAATAAAAGATGGCTTGTGCTCATTTCATTCGTTCAAATCCTTAGAGTACAAGGCAGATTGAACATCTTCAAAGTTTAACGAATCTCTTCCATATAAGAGAGTTTCTTTGAAGTGAGTATGAGACTTCGGTAAAGAGCATAACAACATCAACGCTTGATCTTCATCATCAATCTTGACCTCGATATTTTCAAGATCAAGAATTAACTTGTTGAACATATCCATCTGCTCAGCCAAGATTTTTTCATCACTCATCTTAAATGAATACAAAACTTGCTTCAGGTAGAGACGATTAACCAACGATTTCATCATGTACAAACCTTTAAATTTCATCCATACACCCGTTGCAGTTTTCTTCTTTGAAACCGGCCAGAGAACCTTATCACCAAGGCTTAATATAATGGCATTATGGGATTTTTCGAC